TAGTGCCTAGGCTGTTAGTATGGTAGGTTACAACGTATACAGTCACCGCCGTAAGGTCCTTTGATAGTTGGCCTTGAAGGGTGATTGGCCGTGGCTTAAACAGATTAGGCTAAAAGATGGCCGGTTATGGCAAAGGGAAGTTGAACACGTGTTAGTGACCTCAGCTGGCCTCTGTCACGTTCTGGTAGCATGATGCTGTAACCCTACGGGGGAGGGGGCATGCAGCGCAGCATATTTAGCTGCATAAGACAAAGACCCGCTTAATACCGCCACAAAATAGCGCTTGGTGTTCTTCATAGGCATTAGTCTGTTGTTGTAACCTGGGAAGCCCCTTTGGGGATATGATCAGTTTGCACTTATCATACTCTTCCTTTTCTGTGCTTGCGGCTGCAGTCTTTGTCAACACGTGGATGTACACCTTCATTCCCTACCGTTACTGTTACTAGTTTTCTCTTGCTCCTTTGCACTACTGCAGGACACCAGGGCCAACTGCGCATAAACGCTTTCGTTAGGAAACCTAAGTCATTAGGCAAAAGAAATTTGAGTTCGTTTGTGCACGTTTTGTCGCGCCTTCGGATTTGTCTGCTTTTTGGTAGCCCCATCATATTTCTAGGGAGAGGCTGATCTACTCGTGTGTGAAGCTGTGCTTGAACATCCATTCAGCGGGTGATGGACTGGCTGAATCGTTTAGAGCTATGTGGCAGTCTAGCGAGTAGCATGACTGCTCCGTGAGTGAACAGGCTTGCGTTTGTTTTGCCAATCCTTGTTTTGGTGGATAAACGCCTATCGACAGGTTACGGAACTCACTCGTCCCACTCTGCCTTGGGGGCTCATTCTCGAACCTCACCGGCAGTCGCACAGTAGCTAGTTGTATAGACAGATGAACAGTTCCGACAGAGACCGGGGAGACTGTAATGGCCAGTTCTGACTTATTGACCGTCATCGGCCACCCATACCCAACTGCAGGCGTTGCAAAACCCGAGGCTCGAACCCACAAACGTTTGACTAGAAGTCCTACGATCTTACCGTTGAACCACGGTTTAGTTATCTTGTCGGTTTGGGTTGGGAATATTGTCATTAATGGATGAAAGCTCACCAATCGGCTGCGGGACTCACTTGCCCCGTTCTGTCTTGGGGCCCCCTTTCCCGAGCCCTGTGGCG